GTTGATGTGTTTGATAGACAGATTTTTACTATTTATGATTTATGTTTAAACCACAGCCCCTCTGCTCTAGACATAGCCTTGCGGCCACCTGGAAGGTAGTGGAGTGACAAAGCCCCTCTTGGGCACTTTGCTGACCCCCTGTTCATTGGTTAGGCGATCCTGGGCATGAACAGCAGTTTCCCCCCAGCTCTTAGGCTGGAGGGCAGTGTGGATTGCTACTGTCTTAGCATGGATGGCTGAGTTTGGCTATGTGTGCTGGTTCCTTGTGTCAGATTCGCTCCCCGGAGTTTGCTCTGTGGTGCGCCCTCCTTTCCAGGTACCCAGGAGTGGCCAGGCCGGCCCCTGCTCTTTTCTCCACTCTGCTTCCTTGTGGTTTTCTGGGGTTGCTTATCCTTGCCTGATAAAAGAGTGACAGCTGGCTTTATCTGAGCCCTTCTTCACCTTCTGTTTGTCACTTTGAGGCCCAGAGGTGTGATTACCCTCTGTGACTGACCTTAGATGAAGTCAAGACTTTGGTCATTCAGAGTCTTGGAGCGAATACCTATCCTGTCTAATCATGTGAGAGAAAGATACCCTTTCTACTTGTTTACCAGGACCCAGGTCCTTAGAGCTGGGTGATAACGTTGCTTAATTTTGTACAGTGCTTTACCCTGCTCTGTTGCACCCTTTCAAGTCTCATAGGAGAGCTGCTGGTCAGTGAGCTGCTTCCCCTGTAGACTCTGGAGAAGTGTTGTTATTCAGGGGTATGAGTCCTGTGTAGGGGCTCATCAGATGATCAGAGAACAAACTCCATTTCATCACACTAGCTGTGTTCTGGTTCAAGTGGCAGATAGCCCTTTACCAAAGGACACTTTGGTCTTAGAGATCCAGCATTTGAGCTGTGGCTGACACTAATTTAGTCAACTTCTATGCACATTTTACATGTTATTTCAGTTTGTGTGTGTGTTCATGCATGTACATGTGTTTGTGCAGGCCAGAGGTCAGGTTAAGTGTCTTCTTAAATTGCTTTGTGTCTTATTTTTTGAGAAAGAATCCTTCACTGAAGCAGGAGCTCTCTTATTGGGTTAGAATGGCTGACTAGCAGGCCACAGGATCTTCCTGTCTCTGATTTTCCAGAGCTGGGGTTGCATGTGCACTGTTGTACCGAGGTTTTAAGTCAGTGTCTCATTGTGGAGCTCTGGCTGGCCTGAAGTTTATGTAGAGACCAGGTTGGCTTTGACTCACAGTGATCCACCTACATCTACCTTCTAAGTACTGGGGTTAAAGGCATGTACCACCACACCCAGCTGAACCTGGCTTTTTTACATGGGTGCTAGAGATCTGAACTCAAGTCTTCCTATTGTTAATCAAGCACTTTACCCATCATGCATTGAACCCATGCAAGGTATGAATTTTTGGCATTACCAACGAAAGTCAAGACTTGTTAGGAGCTGCCAAAAGCTGGTTCTGTTAGTCAGCTACAAACAGGGTCTCCAGATAGCTCACTGCAGCAACCCCTTCCTGGCTCTGTTCTTGCTGGCAGTTACTCTTGGGTTCTCTGAGAAGTTGAAGCCCTGGCATGCTTCTGGAACTTTCTCCACATTTCAAAACAGATCACTATAGATTTCAAAATTAAATTATAGGCGCTGCTTGCATTGAGAGGCAGGTGAGCTGTACTTTAAATAGAGCACATTAATTCTGGAGTGAAGCCCTGCTGGGATAATTCTTATCATCAGTGGCATCGCTGACAGGCTTGAAGAGGATCCTCATGGTAAGCAATTTGCAAACTGGAAAGGTGAAAACAGACTTTACAGTAAAGTGTTCCTGGTATTCAAGGTCAGAGGGAGGTCACTGCAGCTTTTTGAGCAGAATGTGAGTGAGAGTTACTTGAAGGGTACTGTGTTCCCCAGAGTACCCTGTGCTGGTGTTTAAATGTAACTTTTCTTGGACATGAACAAATCTCTTGCATAGCAGATAGGGAAATAATGACAGGCACAAAAATGACTCTACCTGAATCCAGTTTGATGAACTAGTGAGTTTTTTGAGGTTACTCACAGAAGCATGGCTAGTTCAGGGGAAGCTGTATCATAGGAAGGCATAGCATGGGTGATGACTCAACAAAGCTGCATCCCTGGGGCTTACTGTCCAATGTTCAGTCAGCTCTACCAGAGTACTCTCCTCAGGAGGTGCTTGATGCCTTTATCACTTTGGATGGGGCCCTGTGAATCTTGTAACTTTTAGGAGCTTCCTAATCCTTGTAAGTCTTCAGAGTCTGGGTGCTTCCTGGACAGTATGGTTCAGTTGGTAGGAAACAGCAGAGAGGCAGAGAAGGGTCTGCAGCCTCTTTTGTGTGGTTGTATAGTCCCATGAGTTTGCTGTGTGAGGGCTGAGAGTGAACTGCGCTTTCTCTTTCTTCCTGAGAAGTTTGTTCTGAAACATGAAGCCAGTGCAATGGTTCAGCTGAAGGCTCTGGTTACCAAGCCTTACAACCCGAGTTCAGTCTCTGGAATCCACATGTTGGAAGGAGAAAACTTACTCCTGCAAGTTGTCCTCTGCCGTTTGCACACATGTGGTGGATACACACACACACACACACACACACACACACACACACACACACACACTAAATATAAGTAACAAAGTAAAAAGACCTGGAAGAGTGGCTGGGTCCCCAAATACCTATACATTCATATATACACATTTAGGTGCTACTGGTACAGAAAGGGAAAGAGAAGGCTACATAGCGCCTCCTCTTAGCCCTGGGTATTGGTTATCTTGTGTCAGGCTGCCATTGTTGGGTTCACATGTGGACCTTGTGCTTAATACTCTACCTGCTCTTTTCTCCAGGCAACCCACAATCCCAGTCCATCTATTCTGTGCTCATGGGATAGGAATCTGAGGTTTAGCATGATTCTGTGCCTACCCAAGGCTACATAGCTGAGTGATCTCATCCCCTGTTTGTCCTGTGAGCTGGATTGAAGGCCCCTTAATGATGAGTCCTTGTTCTCTCTCCTGGTTTGGCACTGCTCGGGACTCACTAGAATGATGCAGCTAGCCTAAGTTGGTTAAACTGGAGTAGTAGAGTAAGCTTCTTAATCTGGGTGTAGCTTTTGGAGCTGTGCATATTTGCATTCTTCTGGAAGAAAACCTCAATGACTTTAGTGTTCTCAGAAGGGTCTACATACCTGTTTGGCTCCTGGACTGAAAGCTGTATCTCAGGGCTGGAGAAATGGCACAGTGGTTAAGAGTACTGGCTGCTCTTCCAGAGGACCTGGGTTCGATTCCCAGCACCCATCTCACGATTGTCTGTAATTCCAGTTCTAGAGGATCTGGCACCTTTTCACAGACATACATGTAGACAAAACATCAAAGCATATGCTAATGACAATAATGATATGATGATGATTAAACAAAATAAGTTAATAAAAAAGAAAGCTGGGTTTAGCAGCGGAAAGCTGGCGCTGCCCCAGTTAGAAATCAAACAGTTGTAGGCATGTTCACTTTGAAGGTGGCAGAGACTAAATGTGATCTGAGTGGCTTGTGTTTGGCACCACACTCCTGCTCACCTGGACTGCTTATTAACATTTACATTAATAGGCGGGACTTGCTGGCCTTGCCTTGGAGAGGCAGCCTTGGTGTGAGTGAGGTAAATTATGAAATGTCTGGGCAATGGCTGGTGCACAGTTAATACTCAAGAGCTAATGGCTATCGTTGCGATTCTGACCATAGCGTGAAGAAGTGCCGATGAGCCGATGCTGTAAAAGCTGATCCCAAGAGGAGGTCTGCCCTAGGATTTCCACTTTCAAGTAATGGAGCTCATGGCTAAGAAAGGTAGACCTGAAGAGATGCCAGTAAGAATGGCTGGCTGTCTATGGCTCAGTACAACCTTATATAGCCTTCCCATAGCCTTCAGTTGCTTCCTGTCCTTATACCAAGTAGTTGACCATTGAGAAAGCTCTCCTGAGGATCTAGAAAGGAGGGTGATTATTCATGTTCTAGGATGTTCTTTTCTACCTGAGGGGAAGCAGCAAATTCTTTGTAATCAAGATAGAGCAAAATTATATCCTACCAGGAAGCCGCCAGAAATCATGTTCAACATTCAGAAGACTGTGTGAATAAGTAAGGATACAAAATTGTTCCGAGGACTTTCGATTCTGGGAAATGTTGATGATTTAGGAAAAACTGAATCAAGATACAAAATTGTTTGTATGTATGTATGTATGTATGTATGTATGTACATACATATACAATAATATACTCTCTAATGTAGTTTTTTTTTTGTTGTTGTTGAGATGGGATGGGATCTTGCTATGTTGCCCAGGTTAACTTTGAACTTGCTTGGCTCAAACTCCACTGTTGTCTCAGCTACCTGATTAGCCAGGCCTGCAGATACATGGCATCATGTGTGGCTTAAAAATATCTCTGCTCATAGTCCTGGGAGCTGCAGCTCCTAGGTCAGTTTCACTTGGCTGACATGTCAGGATGACAATGGCAGGCTGGTTCCTGCTGGTACTATAGGATAGCAACTGTTCTCACCTCTCCCAGCTTGGGCTGCTGGCTGCTGCCATTCTTTGGAAGTGGCCACATCCTTCTAATCATTGCTTCTCTAGTCACATGACCTCTCCCGTGGGTCAGTGTCTCTGCCTTCTTATGAAGACATGTGTGTCGTCCACAGGAATTGACATCATCAGAGTTGCCAAGAGTTCTTCACTGTGTCAGGCTACAGTCACATCTTTCAGGAATGAGGGTGTGGTTATGTTTGGCGACACAATTTAGCGTTACAAATGTTGATTTTTGTGTTAAAAAAGGTGCAAGAAAAAAAGACTGGCTGGAAAGTTTTGAAAATGTTAACAAGGAATAGTGGTCTGGGTGGGGGTTGAGACCCTGTTTTGATTATTGCTTTGTTCTACATTGTCTATACTAAGGAAGTAATGCCATTTATACCCCATAAAGTTGCCTACTGACTGACATTACTGTAGAGACCAGCTTGCAGGCTCTGTGACACCTGCTTCTCTCCCCAGAGCCCGTGTTCTGGGTCTACGTGAAGGAGGTCCTCAGCAAGCACGAGCTGCAGCGCTTCTACTCCCTGCACCACATCACCGCTGACGTTGGCCGAGGCCGGGCCTGGCTGCGCTGCGCCCTAAATGAGCACTCCCTTGAGCGCTACTTGCAGATGCTGCTGGCTGACCGCACCAGGCTCAGGTACCCAGCAGGATGGCCCTAGTCTCTCAGCCAGGGGAGAAGGGGCTTCCCCACTGCAGCCCTGCTAGCCATTCCCTTAGTAGGAGGACAAATGCCACAAGGTCTAGAAGGGACCCTGTGTGGCACCCGTAGCCAGCACTCCATCAGTGCTTGGTGTGATCAAGGCCTTGGATACAGACAGCTATTGCCTTAGGACACAGACTGCCCTTCACTCTGTGGAGTTTTAATTTGGGATTCTTTAGTGTACTCAATCCAAAACTGACCAAAAGATATAGAATCTTAGTTTATTCTTTTGTTTATTTTGAGACAATACTCACATGTAATCCAGGCTAGCCTGGACCTCACTGTTATAGCCCATGCTGGTCTGTTTCTAGGATTAAAGGCCTGTATGACCAACCAGGCCTGCTCAGTATGTGAGATATCAGGGAAGGAAGTGCTTTGTTTTTATTAAACACTTTCATTTTTTTATCATGTGCTATTTTTTTCTTAAGCATAAAGTTTACTCAGGTCAGCTTGTGTTGTAGTAAGCAACATTTGAGAAGCCTCACAGGCCTGGGCTGGCTAGTTTTATTTCTTTGTGTTATTCCTTGCCTGTGAGGATGGTAGACTAGACAGTTTATGTCACCTGATGACCCAAGGAGCCCTCTCTGGGGCCTTCCGTGTTAGCAGGGCCTAGACTTGACACTTAAATTCTGTTAATGTAGTAAGCTGGCTTCTTAGCACTGCAGCAGCCCCTTGATTTCAGTCTTGCCAGTTTTCTGCAGGTTCAGGTTTCCCTTTCTGCTTCGGTAGTCCCCTTAACCCCCAACAACTTCTTCTCAGCTTTACTTTTTTCTTTACTGGAAATCTGACTCAGGTACTCGTGCATGCTGGACAGAGACTCCGTCCTGTGGGCCCCCGTTGCTCTGGGGTCTAATTCTACTAGTGATTCTGTGGGTGCTCTGGACTTGCTTTTAAAAACCCCCGGGTCACTGATGCGGATCTTCCTGGTCACAGACATTAACTCCGAGTCCAGCTTCCAGGTCCCATGAATCCTAGAGTGGAAGGAGAGAGAACTGACTCCTGAAAAGTTTCTGTAGACCTCTACATGTGTGCCCGAATCACACACATCCTGCAGATACACATGTATACAATAATAAAAATAAAATTAAAACAACAAAGAAGACAGTTCAAACCAACAGCAACTACAATCCACATAAAAAGAGCTAGCACAGTGCTGCATGTCCCAGTGATGAGGAGGCAGAGACAGGTGGATCCCTGGGGAATCACTGGCCACCCAGCCTAGCCTACTCAGGCATTTCCAGGCCAATGAGAGACCCTGTCTCAAAGAAGGTGAATGGATCCTGTGGAATTACACTAGAGGTTGTTCTCTGACCTCTATATGCAAGCACATTCATGGACACACTTACACTCTTACAGGCACACATGTACACACATTCTTTCATACACACTCTCTCTCACACACACTCACACATACACATTCTCTCTCACTCTCACACACACTCTCCCACATACACATACTCACACATATTCTCTCTCCCAAACACACACACTCACACATACACTCTTTCTCACACACACTCTTTCACATGCACATTCTCACACATATTCTCTCTCTCACACATACACACACACACACTCTCACACTCTCACACACACACATTTTCTCTCTCACACACTCACACTCTTTCATTCACACACTTTCTTTCTCTCTTACACACACAATAGGCACACATTCTATCTCACACATTCTTCAGATTCATTTACATATACAAAAGCTAGTTCAACTGATTCCAGTTTGCTGTGGAATTCAGTGTGATCAGCATGCTGGCCTGACAAGGTTTGTTATCCTCCTGTCATGCTCCCTGTCGACTGTCTCAGTCACATCGACAGCTGCTTTCCTCTGTCTCTTGCTGAACTGCAGGTCGCTCAGCACAGAATGACAGTATTGAAGCTGCATTTAGAATTGTGTTACCTGGCATTGAGGAGGCTGGTGGTTTATTGCCTAACAGAGTCATATAAATTATTGACCAAGTCTTGGAAATTAGACTTGTGAGACCTGCTTTTAAGCTCTGCTGTACTGTTGATTGGCTGGATTGCCTTAGGTACCTGTAGGCTTCCCTGACTGCTACTGAAGTTCACAGGAGCCCTTTACCCTCCCGGGTTTTCCCATGACTAACTTGGAGTGTGAGTTTGTAGCCCAGAAGTTATTGTAAGTGCATGCCCTGTTGATGGATTCCTGAAGCTCTGTAATTGCTTCTGAAATTATCTTTTCTTGAATGAGCCAATCAGATGAGCCTTGTTGGTGACTTCCTGTCTATCTCGTGGTACCTTGTTGAGTGGAGTCCATCCCTCTGTCCTCCTCAACTTTGTTTCTTTATAAATACATCTGCACATATCTATTTCAGTCCTCTAAAGCTCAGGGTCTCAGGGGACCAAGAAGGAAGTCAGGGTCTGTGCATTCAGATCTGTGTTTCTAGTGAGAAACTTCAAAGTGGAGAGGGACCAAATTCCTTCTGGGTGACAGACTAGGCCTGGTGTTTGTTAGGGAGCCATGGAATGGCATCATTGGCTAGTAATGGATACTGAGAACTACCTTCCTCTAAGAGTCGTCTCTTTTCTTTTTGCTTTTGCAGCACATTCTATGAAGATTGGTCTTTTGTGATGGATGAAGAAAGGTCCAGCATGCTCCCTACCATGGCAGCTGGTAAGCCTGGTGAGGCCAGGGCTGATGAGTCCTGAGAAGCTTGGTGAGCAGAGAGCTTCTGGGAGTGGATGCCATGATGCTCTGTGTCCTCTTGACTGTTGTGTTGCTTTTTATGTTGGGCCAATTTGTCTAGAATTTGACACCGTGCAGATGATGCGCATGGTTGAAGAGCGTGGCTTGTGGCCTGGCAGGCGAGCAATAAAGAACTGGAGATTGGCTGACTGCCTTGACCCTGGTTTTGCTTCTTGTCAGCTGAATTCTGTCAGCTCTGTTACCTCTTCTGTCCTCCTCTGTGAACTGAGAACACTGTTAGCTTTGCAGGCACCTTTTTGGACTTTAAGAGAGGCAAAGGAAATAAAAGGCTTTGTATGCAGCTTATCAGTGTGAAGTGAGGCCCTGGATTGCTGTGACTGTGGCTGGAGGAATCACATTACACTCTTTTTCTTCTAAAACCTGACATGGACCCCTGCATGAGGGCCATGTTAGGCTCATCTAGGGATGAGAGAGTCAGGCTTTGGCTGTGGTTTTATTTATAGGCTGTAGATTGCCAGCCAGTGTCAGTCTTGGCTATAGTAACTGTAAGGACCTGTTTGGTGCACACTAAGCTCTTGATGGGGTGTCGGTAGGTAAAGTCTTCAGTACTCACAAACCTGAGATGGTTACTGTTTTCAAAATTGCACAGACAGAGAAGCAGAACTCTGGGAGATGTGAGCTGCCTCGTGGCTTTCTGTGCCTCAGTCCAGGCAAGCCCCTCTCCCAAACTCCCACCATCAGCTTCTAGGTGACTCTTGTTGGCTGACTTTCTCACTCTGTCCACATGAACTTCTGTCTACCAATGCAGGGTCGGATGGTTTTATAGATGCTGAAGACGAGTACTTGTCCTCTTGTGTCCCTTGTAGACTGTCTTTTTGCTGGGGGTGTGACCACATGACAGTAAGCACTGCAGTGTCTCCTCCCTACTTTTTTTTGACAGGTCTGAACTCTATACTCTTTGCAATTAACATTGACAACAAGGATTTGAATGGGCAGAGCAAATTTGCTCCCACTGTCTCTGACCTCTTAAAAGAGTCAACGCAGAATGTGACATCTTTGCTGAAGGAGTCCACGCAGGGCATGAGCAGCCTTCTCAGGGAGATCACAGCATCCTCTGCTGTCTCCATTCTCATCAAGCCGGAGCAGGAGACTGACCCTCTGCCAGTCATATCCAAGAATGTCCATGTTGGTAAGTCAGAAGGGGCCCTGGAGGTGGCACAGTAGGGCCACTGAGAAGGAAATGAGAGTGGAGCTGAGAGGAACCCCTAATGCTGTTGCTCCTCAGGGACCAAAGTCTGTGGGTATTTGTTTTTTGTTTTTTGTTTTTTTTTGAATCATCTTTCACTGTGAGCAGGACTGACAGGAAGGGTAGAGAAGCCTGCCCAGGACGCCAGGTGGGTCGTCTCCCAGCACTTCTCTCCTTTCTTCCTTTCCTGAGTTTTTATGATCACTAGTGAGCTGAGGCTCTGCTGGCATCATGTTAGTCTTCTTGGGGTTGGGCAGGAGTGACATTTTAAAACAAAAAGGCAAAGGCAGCTTATTGTTCTTGTGGTATACTCGATGCAAGCACAGGACGCTGCAGAGAGAATGCTTTGGGCTTGCCTGTGTTGGGGGTGCAAGCACAGGACGCTGCAG